ATTAAATCGTAACACTGTCGCTTATAGGAGAAAGTATTATTTATTGAATAAGACGTACATACTGCTATCGCGTAAACATCAGCACCCTAAAAAATGGATATGATTATCCAAACAGGCTTTAAAAGTATAAGTTGCAACATAGTTTTTAATAATGAAACGCTGAAAAAAGCTAAAAAATTAGTAGAGAGTAGGCACGTTGCCTACGTACAGGAATATGTAAATAAAAGAGTCGGTCATCTGATCAATTGCTATGTTGTGAAACAAACATCTGTCAGCTTAAATCCATATAAAGTAGAATTATCTGTAAGTACATTATTGCCTATGCTTGACAAATGTAGGTTATAGTAACATATACACAAATGTGTAATTTATTAATCAGATTAACAAAGACCACTGTATCTCTGACGTGAGCTGCGAATGTGTAGCTAATCAGAGCCAAAAGTGTAAGCACATCGCAGCACTGATCCATTTTATCAATACAAGTAATAGCCTGAGAAAAACTGATTTTGAGAAAAATTGGGGAAAACCCACTCCAAAGCAACTTGGGAGTGAAAAATACTCCAAGGGATGTTTTTTTAAGGAAATGTTCCCCCCTCCCCAGCAAACACCTGATGTTGATGAAGTCTGTTTTACTATTAAAGATTTAAAAGAGTATATTTAATAACCCATTATTCAAAATTTCGGGTGATTTAAAGTGCCTAGCAAAATTATTTATCCGTATTATAGACCTGGTTTGGCTAAATAACATTTTTTTTCCGCCTTCGATTTCTCAACTAATTACTTTAAATGTAATAATATCTTTTCTCACACAAAACAACGCTTACTGTACGATTCATGGGGGTACGGATTCGCCAACTTTGCTCACCTACAGCGCTGCAGTCGTTTTTTTTATCCCTTCCAACCTGATGCACGGAGCGAATAATACATTACAATGAAAAGTATGCCAGATCACCACAACAAATAAGAAAGAAAAATCTCAAAATTTTTTGTATACGTGTGCATATGAATAGGAAAAATGAAAATAGGATTTTAAAGAAGAGAGTATTAATACTGAAAGGCTTAAGTAAAAAAACTTGTGGATCTCGAAATAAAACTCATGTATTTCGAAATAAAACTCGTAGATTTCGAAATCAAACTCTTGGATTTCAAAATGAAACAAAATTCGTATTCTTGCTAAACAAAAAAAAAAATAAAATAAAACGTCTAATGCAGGTGGATCAAACCTGGATGTTCAGCTGAGAAAAAAGCTCCGAATCGGGCTGTCGCCCTTACGAAGTGCGCAAGCGCGAATTCTCGTGGGAACTAATGTTCCAAAAAAGATTGAGCTCGTGAAAATTTTTTAAATATTCACGTCTCACCCTTTTACTGCGCCAATGATGCGTCTATCGTGTCTCGTCTTCTCTTTGCCTTGAAGAACTTGCACGTAAAAAAAAGGTAACAGCTGCGAGGAGGCTAGTAAATACGTGAAGAACAGAACCAAAAAGGCGTCCACAGCGAAAGTCAACCTTAAAAGCCAAAGAAGAGAGCCGAAGATACTGCACGCTTCTTGATGGCAGGTCAAAAAAAAGTAAGTAATAAACAAAATAAAGATTACGGCAACGAGAGAAAAAAATTGCAAACCAATAAAGAAGACGGTGCAACTGGAAAGTAACTTTTCTGTTGTCAAGGTAACGCTTTACGTTCAACCAATAATTAAAAATCTACTGCCCCTCGCCCTTTTTTGAATGTGATCGGCTGATTCGATATCGATACCAGCCTCTCTGTATATTTTTTCGTTAAAGACGAAACAGTGATCTTGGTCATCCGGGTTGCAGGTAACTTTCCGATGTGGGGGACTCTGGTATCACTAGATGATATTTTGCTAACTGTCTGCTAGGTGTGTCTCGTCTTCCTGGTTCTTATCCACAAGTGTTAGAATTATCCATCGGTTAGTATATAAGGAAGTTCAAGTTTAGTGTGGTAACCCCAAGTAGGTGTCTAAGGTAGGAGCTGTTGGGTATGCCTTACTGATGAGTCCACCAACAGCTCCAGGATGAAATACCTGAGTGGCTGTCCAATATTTTACCCCATGCCCTAAGCCCACATCGGTTAGTCATCCTCAAAGGAGTGATAGGAATATGTACCCATGACTTCCAGTTTAGATCAATATGGCAATAAGTAGCACCATTAGCTGCTGTGCTCGCCATATTTGATCTAAACCGTAAGTAAACACATTGTCCGGTCCGCTCACTCCCTTGAGGCTCACTAACATTATGCTTTTTCACTTAAAGAAATGGCGCTACATTGGCACTCTTGTTTTTGAACACATCAAGTACGACAGGTTTTAGTTGAAACATTAGCCACTTCATTTATTGTTGCACAGGCTCTTCGGTGCTACTATTCGCGTCTCATCTCGGATAATACTGCATCTCATTTGTTATAACCTGATAATTTTGTTCAGGCATTGATTCAAAAAGCCGAAAAGGTGAAAATCATAACTCCAAAGATAAAAGGTGCAAATCATCCTGAAATATTTGTTATTCTGAAATAACTAACAGCTCTAGCACTGTTGCCAGAAACAAGAATTTAGGAAACATTTAATGGTATCAAGGCTGTATGTGACGAGCAGTAGAGGGGTTATTTTCATCAATTTCTGTTGTACTTTCAAAAAGAATGGTTGCAGAAATGTGGAGCTCAATATTTCTCAGTTTTCAACTTGCCCGAGGACCGTAAAAACAATTTTACGGAAGCTTTTCACCATGATTTGAACGATGATGTGACTAAAAGGCCCCACATAAGCAAATTTTTAAGTAAGTAGTGATGGAATTCAAATCACTGTACCTATATTTAAAAATTTTTCATGCATGAAAATCATGTAAATATGTATAGTAGGGTGACTGTTATTTAATATTGTGGATTGTTTTATAACAATACCCTATAAAGTATCTTTTTTATATCCCCAAATGAAAATGTATACCTTAAAAATTTTAAATTCTCGAGTCGATACAAGTACTATCTTTCAACTGTATTACTTGGAGGCGGAAAACATGCGGATGAACTGTAAACAATATGTTACTTAGATTTATAGTTTAAAAATTTAAAAAACAATTACTTAAGCAGTAAAACAAATAAAACATAGCTGAAAATGTTTTTGTCCGCATAATTTAATTAGGAAATTTATGTCTTTGGAATCACGTGTGAAGTTGTAAATGTGCGTATTTCTTTGACATAAATTATGTATTTTTTAATGGCGTGAAGAGATGTGATTGGGTAATAATGTGACGAATAAGTCCACAGTAAAAAATATGAATCACCCTCTTATTTAGATATATATCTGTCTATCCATTCCAAAAAAAACAGCCACAAGCGAAAGTCATACTCCAAAAGAATTGAAAAAGAATCAAGTCGCGTGGGAGCGCGACGAGGTAAGTTTGAGAAAGCAGATGAAGCCTCAGCGACCGTGCTACTATTTACTTTAGATTTGCATACTCGAATTTTCAAATACTGAAAAATAAGTATTTTTGCCGGTATCCCTGATGTATTTTGGTTTAATTAAGTCTCTTTAATCCTCGTCCACAACTTTACCAAAAAATATAGGTCAAAAAGTCGTTAGAACTACGAAAACGAGACATGTGTATCCCGAAATGGTCAAAACAAGATTTGTTCAGGCTCAGTGTCCGAGAAATGGTCTTATCGTTAAGTTAGCTGCAAGCCAAAATTTTCCTGTGTATATTTGGAATAGGCATGTTCTTAAAATCAAGCAGAGCTGCCAACAGTGTGATATTAGCTACAGGTACTTTCTAATTTCACAAATTCACAGTAGATAATAGCATGCAGTGTTGGGAGTTCTCAGTGGCTAAGATGGTAGAGTGCTTGCTTCCCGCCTGGAGAGCTCGGGTTCGAGACTCTGTTCCGTCACTTTCTCCCGGGTTACTAAGTGGTGTTTTTAATGTGAATTAATCACTAGGATATCATATAAATAGGCTACTGGTATGTAGCATTTCACTGTGGCATGCAGATATGCAGTTTATCAGAAGACACAACGATGCCTCAGAAGAGGGAGGTGGTGGATATGATGCTCTCATAGTAACATCATCCCCTAAATGATCAAAAATACAAACAATGAGATGTATGTGGCAAATCGTGGTCAAATGTATATGTCCACACTTACAAACTTGTAAAATATACTGAGCCATTTAAACAGCGACTGACAAGATGAGGTGATTGTCAAGGTAGGACACCTACAGTGAAAAAATTTGGAAAACGAATAAAAATATAAATATCAAAAATACTTCGATATCCTATTTATTGTAACTCCGAATTTCGTGTGCCTCAAATGCGAAGACATTAATTTCAGTATCTAAATTAAAATTCAAAATAAATTAATTACTAGTAATAAATTTTATTGTTTTTTAGTATACTTTTTTCGTTACTTTAAAATGAATCGTGTAACACAGCTGTAACAGTATCAACATAATTTGATCGATTGGATTGGAAACTCTAATAATTTCCCAGAGTGCCCTAAATAACAAGCTGTAAACCTAAGCCTTATTTGATTTAGCG